AAATTTCTTAAAATTTTGCACGACCCCCTACCTTGTCAAAAAATTGAAAATTTTTTCAAATTTTGAACGACCTCCTAACTGGCAAAAAAATTAAAATTTTTTTTATAATTTTGCACGACCCCCTACCTTGGCAAAAAATTAAAAATTTTTTAAAATTTTGCACGACCCCCTACCTTGGCAAAAAATTGAAAATTTTTTAAAATTTTACACGACCCCCTACCTTGGCAAAAAATTGAAAATTTTTAAATATTTTGCACGACCCCCTACCTTGGCAAAAAATTGAAAATTTTTTAAAATTTTGCACGACCCCCTACCTTGGCAAAAAATTGAAAATTTTTTAAAATTTTGCACGACACTCTACCTTGGCAAAAAATTGAAAATTTTTTAAAATTTTGCACGACCTTGGCAAAAAATTGAAAATTTTTTAAAATTTTGCACGACCCCCTTCCTTTGCAATAAATTGAAAATTTTTGAAAATTTTGCACGACCCCCTACCTTCTCAAAAAATTGAAAATTTTTTAAAATTTTGCACGACCCCCTTCCTTGGCAAAAAATTGAAAATTTTTTTAAATTTTGCGCGACCCCCTACCTTGGCAAAAAATTGAAAATTTCTTAAAATTTATAATTTTATAACGATATTTATAATTTTTTGGCAAATTCTACCAGAAAATTGAAGTTCACAATAATGTATTTTATAATCTACATAAAATCATTCATTTGCGAATTGAAATAATGTTATCTTACAACTGTTATACTTGTATAACAAAATCAACTTGTAACTATTTTACATATTTTGATTTTTGTAAAATATCAAAACGTAAAAAATTTGAAATAATATATTATGGTATATGTATAGGGAATCGTGAAAAATCCCAATAATATAAGAATTTTGGAAAAAAAAAATTCCAAAATTTTTCTGTATTATTTACCTATTTTTACTGTTATATTTTCTTTTATCCATTATTGTGTTTTTTTTTTCTCTTTGTATTTTTGATTCTTTTGTGTTTTCATCCATAAATTATTCATGAAAACCATTTTTTCTCTGTATCTTCTTATTTTGATGGAAGCAACCATATTTTTTTTTTTGTGTAAAATATTTTTAAGGATTGTAAAATAGGCATAACGTTATTATCACAGTGGTTTAAAGATAAAATATAAAAAATGTTTGTTATTTTGCTTCATTTTTTTTTTTTTTTGGTGTGTTGGAGGAAAAACAAACATAATATTATTAAATTCGTTATAAATTTTCTTTTACTTTATCGCTACATTGAATTTTATGATAATATACAATAATAATATTTTATTTCTATTTCGAAATTCACGCATATACATATATAAATTTTTAAAATATTTAAAATAAAAAAAATTATGGTTAGAAAAGTTTTTTTTACAATATTTTTTGGTTATTAGTTTGTATAGTATTAGATTCCTTCGAGTCTATATAAAATTGTCTTAACAATTTAATATCGTGCAAAAATCTTACAACTAACTAAAAAAATTTTACATAAACTTGACAAGTATGTCATATGTTTTAGCAATTCTAGTATAGCTTGTCAAGATCGAAGCATTTAATATGCAAGAAAATTCTCAATATGGTACAGCAACAATAGAATAATTGAAAATGCAGAAAATTTTTAAACTGAAACAAGATTTCAAGTTGTCGCAACTGCAATAAAGAACACCTATTACTCTTTTCTAAAATACATAATGACAGTGCAGATATTTTGTGTCCCAAATTCAATGTCTCACATTTATAATACGATGAAGAATATTATGGCAAAAACTTGAAAAATTTTGGAATATTCAGAAGATATTCAACATTTTCAACATATTGTCATTTAAGTGGCTTTAATTTTGCCGAGTAGTATTTAAAAAATTACAAAAATTTTTACCATCATAATTTATAATTTTCATTTTTTTTGCAACAAAATTTCAAAATTTTTATAAATTCCTTAAAAATATTAAAAGGTAAATTTATTCTAAAAAGCAAAAAAACCAAAAAAAAAAAATTTATTATGAAAGGGAGATGTAAAAATCCTTGTATTTTATTTTCATTGTACAATGGTAATATTTTTTTTGCTGGAGTAATGATTCTTTTGGATCTTTGTTTTAAGACTATTTAATAACTCAAACTGAAATCAAGTATTTTATTTTCAATTTTACATATTAACATAAATTTACATACATAAATGACAACATTAAATTTCATAGATTAGATTATTTACAGTTATTATAATAATAATATATTGGACACATTTTAAATATGATTTTTTGGTTACAATTTGCAAGATTTGAAATATTTACAGTGTAGCATATTTTTTGACTTATCTTCTTATAGTCATTCCTTAGACAAAATTAAATAACAAACAAAATTGGTGAATTTTATAACTATTGAGCACAAAGAAACTACAATAATTCCACGTTTTGTGACCTTTCATTTTCCTACATTTCATATTGCATACATTTCACATTCCGACGTAAAAAATTTCATATTGCGACGAATAAAAAAAATTTACGATTTCCTTTCACAATACATACCCTGTATGCTGTGTAACACTGTAAACACGTTAAAGGCAATATTATAAAAAATAATATCCCGTATAAAATATATGCAGCCTTTAGCATCGCAATCTACACATCCAACAACATCATATGATACAGAATCCTCAATAACGCTAGATTCTGATTCTTCGTAGACATTGAAAATTCTAGATTTTAACAGTATTGAATGTTTCTTTTTCGAATTTTAATGAATATTTTGTTTTTGGAATTCGTACGTTTTTTTAATTTTAATGAATTTGTTTTTTTAATGTCAAAAATTTAATTGAATTGTTTACGTTTTTTTTAATTTCTATGAATTTTTTTAGTCAAATTCGAGAAAGCAGTACTGAAGTAATTTTTATTAGAATATACGAGAATATTATCAGGAGTAAATTCTATAGAAACTATATAATTTGATCCGTATTTCACTATTATAATTAATATAGTTAGCTGTTAAAACTTTAATAATGTATAAAGATCAAGATGTTCAACAAACTTAACTTCCAAAAATAGTACGGAACCTTATACTAAATTCATTATATTCGAAACTCTATTTTGGTGATATTTTGCAATACGTACTCTCTATCAGGAAACACATCTGGTTCCATTAACTCTAAAAGACACGAGCTTAATTTTTTTTTAATTTTCTACTTAAAAAAAACAAGTTCTGAGTAGATTCTTTTAATTGTACTATTTTTCTTAAAATGCATTATTTGAGGAATATTATAAAATTTGTCTAATATTAAAGTTTATTACGAATATTCTGAAATTTTCATATATGAGTTTTGTAGTAAATTACAAAACTATTAAAATATTTCAAATTAATCTTCATTTTCTGCAATTAATTTTATCTCCTTTTCCTAAATATTTTCAAGATTTTCTTTCAGAAATTTTAAATATTTATACAATTAAAAAGTTTAAGATGACTTTTTAATTAAGTAAATTAAGATGAAGGTAAGTAATATGTTACATGCATGTTAATCTATGTACATAGCTAGTTTTAAAATAAATATAATGTAGTTAATGTTATGTAATTAATATCCTTTTCACTTATTTATACATTATTGTTAATTTATTATAATATCTATTATGTGTATTTAATTAAAATTAAATATGTACTATAAAAGTAAATAAATTATTATTTATATAAATAGAAATTGCTTTCAATTTATTATCCTTAAACGTTAACAATAATATTAATAATTAATAATAATGAAAATTGAAATTAACTATAAATATACGACTATACATACGTAGTTTATAATAAATAAATATTACAATTATGTATTAACAAAAATTTATATTTGTATTATAGTTCGTAATCGAACATGTTGTATTCAAAATGTTTGCAGTGCAAACATAAACAATACCATACCATACTATATCGAACAACAATGAAACATTACAATGATTAAAGAGTCACATTAAATATATTTTATTCAAAAAACTTAAGCGTTTCTAAAATATTCAGCCCTATCATGAATTCCAGTTACATAATCCTACGAATTACGAACGTAGGAAAACGTAGCTACAACGTAGACTTTTGAATGATCACATACTCGTATGAATCAGCAATGGCAGCACCATTTTTCCGAAGTGTCCAAATCATTATTTTATTTCAATTGTCAAATGTTTATTTATATTTTTGTGTTGCTATGCTGTTTGAGTTAACAACTTTCAAATAAAAGAGTATTTTTTAAAATATCATTTTGGATGAAAGTTTTGCAATTTTTATAGTTTATGAATTTTTTAAATATTTTTTTTAGCAAAATATATGAATTGATTTCTCTTCATGGTATAGCTGTATTAGAGTAACTCAGATTCAAATAAAAAACTCTAAACTTTTGAAAATTTAATACGACCCATTTTCTCTTTAAATTGCCAGTTACCTGTGATTATTTCTTTCGTAGGTTTTTGAGAGTAATTTTTACTACGAATGTAATTTATGATTTATCATAAATTACCAAGATTCGGACCTGGATTTTAGTTATTCGTAATTTTCCGAATTTCAGAGTTACAAACGAAATTCATGATGGGGTTCATTATTCAAATATTGCTATTATTTTTAAAAATATTCGATTTGCTCATTTATTTAAATTGATTTCAAAAATAGCCCAACATCGACTGTTAAGGTTTCTTCGAATATTTTTTCAAGAGAATGCATTTTAGCTATAAAATAACCAAATATAATTTTGACAATAATGCTAAATTTCATGAAAATTAGCTTAATAATCAAAAATTAGAAAAATTTAACATTAAGCACGAATTGGAATCATGGTATTTTCGCATCGTATATAAATTACATTTCAAAGTTTAAAATTAATGTGCATTATGCTTTATTTAGATTTAAATGAGATTTTTTTATTAATTGTTGAAAAAATTCAAAAATTTTCATAAAATTAAAATTATATTTTAATTTTATTATAATATTATTTTTTTGTTCTCCTTTTTAAAAATAGCATGTGATATGAACGTTCATGCAAAATGTAAGGAAAGTGTACCAAATTTATGCGGTTCTGATCATACTGAAAGACGTGGTCGTATAAGTGTTGAACTTTCTGTAACTAAAAGTATTTTAACAGTTGTTGGTAAGTATATAAAAATATTTATGTATTATTAAATATTTAAGATCATTTTATCGTAGTCAAATTAAATAAATTTTTTTTTTAAATTTACGTTTGAAAAAACCAATTACGTATAACTTTTAATTTTTATGAAAAACAACACAATGTGCAAGGTGTACTGATATACAACGAAACTTTCAAAAGTATGATATTAACAAACTTTTAGTGAAAAGTGTGTGAAAACAGTATTTGCCCTTACTAGTTTAGATATAGAAAGAATTCTTCAGTGATCGCTATTATTCTTTGTTTAAATCTTATTCCTTATAGTTTCTTAAGATTGTACAAAATTTTTTATGGGAAAACTCAATAGCTGCTTTATTAATAAAAATACATCCTTTCTTTTTTAATAAAAGAATACTGAAATATTAAATTTTAATTTAGTTTTTTAGTTCAAAATTAATTCAAAACTTTTTAATTTCAAAATCCTTTTGTTTATTCCTATTTTTTTATCCATAAACCCTTTATCATTCCAAATAATAACAACGATAAAATTGCCAAATACAAAAATTATGCTATTTTAAGAATTTTTCGTTTTAGAAAAAAAAATCTAAATTTAATTAGAAAAATATAATTTCTCAAAAAATCATAAAAATTTTATATTTAAACGGAAAATTATTTGTTAAATTTAAAAATTAATTGCTGTGCTGCTAAGAAATTTTTCTTTATAGCAAAACGTAAAACTTAAGGATTAGATAACTTAAAAATGGAAGTAGAAAAAAAATTGTATGCTACCAATAACCACAAAAAATTGTAAGAAATTAAGGTATTGAATAAATAGTGGTACACCATTTTTATTTACTAAATTCGGACAGTGTTTTTAGCCCAAATGAGCAAACGTGGCCGATTCCTCTTGTTTAAAATTATTTTGGCTCCACGGTTCATTTCTTTTCGTAATTAGTCATATTTGCCACTTTTTCTAAATCTTGAAGAAAAACTTTAATTTTTCATCGTTTTCAAAGCTATTTTATCCTGCACAAACGTATGTTGGAGGGATAGATTCAAGTGTACGTTTTTGATCAGCGTTGAATTCTAAGTCGATTTAACTTTGTCTGTCCGTCCCAAATTTTCACAAATGATTTATTATACAATGTCAATGTGTAGTTAATGTCAGAACCCTATTTAGAATTGGTTTTAAACTATTTTTCTCGTTCTCTTTATAAAATTTGATTACGAAAATTTAACAAGACCTTAAAATTAGGTTATAGATTATCTATAATTCTATTGGTATTGGGAATTTAATGTTACAATTTACTTATTAGATTGTATTTTTAGTTAAAAAATACTGAAACCATTGCATATTATGAAATTTGGACCCTCATTTTAAAATTTAGCATTTCTTTTTCGAAAAATTAGCCTCTTAATTTTTTCATGAATTTCAGCCCTGAATTAGATTTTTCATTTCCAAGTAACTTATTGGAAAATTTTGAAAATGTTCAAAGATTTCCAATAATATGGCCCGAAATAATCAAGAGTTTGAAGCTTCTGATTCTAATTCATGCGAAGAAGTGAATATTCTTCACGAAAATTTTGTCATTTAATTTAGAAAACTAAAATATTTTTAATTCAAACCAAATTGAAACTGGAAAAATAAAAGCAAGAAAATTAATATAAAATTAAAAATAAGAAAGAAAATTATTTTAAGATTAAATAAACATTTTATGAAATTATAAAGAAATTTTAAATATGAAATATCTAAATCATTAAAAGTAAGTTAGATTTGTAAAAACAGTAAAGCAACATTTAGAATTTTAATTTTAGATTTTAGAATAGCTCAATTTTTTATAAGTAGTTCAAATTTTACAATTATTGTACATAATATTTTTGCAACGAAAACGAAACAAATTCTAAGAAATCATTAAAATCCAGTAAATTTTCTTTTAAACTCATAAACAACTTCACATTTACTTAAAAATCTGTTATATTGTTCTATACCACACATAATATGTATGTACTTTCTGATTATACTCTAAAACCCGCAGAAATTCAAATAGAAGCTTTTTTTTTTTATTTAGAAGCAAAAAGAAAAATTCTTAGATAACAATAAAGATTACAATTCCCAAAAAAGAAAAATAAAAATTTCAAACTAACATTAAAAAAATTTTAAAATTTATTTTCAGTTCTTCTCCTTTTCTTTATTTCAATATTCGAGCATGTTTTCCATGAACGCATTTATTTGGTTTTTAAAAAAATATTCGTACTTCAATTCTAGTATTCTGAAAAATAAGAAGGTCATAACTGAAACACAATAACTGAATTTTTATTGTATAACTTCATTCAAAATACAAAAACAAAAACAAAATGCCAAAGACTTGATGCAATTCTTAATTCGGCTCCACAATATGAAGTGAGAACAAAAATATTTCCAAATACACCCGAAAAAAAAGGACAAAAAAAACCATAAGAACAAAAAATTTTTCAATATTCAAACCAAAAGAATTTTTTATGAAACAAAAAGCATCAAGGTATTCATTTTATCCAGAAAATATAAAAAATTCCTTTACATAGAAATATTCATCCTTACCAAAATCTTACTATATTGCACATACAAAGTTTTCTTAAAGGATAGCCATATGAAAAATTTCATTTTTACATTCTTGGTTTTTTTCTTGTTTGTTGAAATAAAATTGAAAATAAACACTGTTATAAAAGTGTGTATTCAATATTCTCAAATGAAATCCTAGGATAATAGTTCTCTTGAGTGCAATTTATCCTGTGAATCCTGAATATATAAATACAATAATAAAAAGCAAGTACAAAGTCCATTGCAATGAGACAACAAAAAAATAAAGTTGGGTCAAACCAATGGTTTGTATTGTAGCACTTTTCCCTTCAACAAGTGAAAATTCTGCTTTTAAAAACACTCTATGTATACCTATCACACTATTAAAATTATTTTCATTTATAAACGAAACTATTTCTAGGATTGCATATATTTAGGATGAACCATTTATGCAGTCTTTGAAATAAAGCAAAATTTAATATAAACAGGGGTTAACATAATGCTCGATTTTAAGGGTTAATTGTGTGAGTTAAGAAAAATAATTATATTTTTTAATGTCATGGAATTTACCGTTCGTTAACTTTTTGCGTTTATAGAAATTTGAAAAAACTTGCGGTTTCAGGAATATAAGGTGTCAAAAATGCAAATTTTACAAATTTCAAGAGGCCATAACTTGAGAGGGGGTGGAGATGGAAAAAAATTTTCTTCTAACGAAATGAACTACTTGTTAATGTCTAAAAGCCCCTAAAATTTCAAGCTTCTACAGGCTGGGGTCTAGAAGAAAAACGACATCAAAAATTTGAAAAAAAAGGACTTTAGATAACGGTAAATTTGAACGGCCATTTTGTTTTTCTAAAATTTAACTTTAGTATACCGCGATAGGGGAAGCAAGCCAGTGCCTTTCTGCGTTTGCAAAATTTCAAAAATTGTTATGGTTTCATTGCAACAAATAGTTAAAATAGGCCATTTTTAGTGCTTTGGGGGGGTATAACTTCTAGAGGGGGGGGGATAGGTAAATATTTTGTTGTACGAAAATAAGTTTCTAGTAAAGATCTATGTACGTATTAAATTTCAGCTTTCTATCTTTAAGAATGTAGAAGTTTTGTAAACAGACACACGGACAGACGGACGGACGGACGGACGGACAGAGTGAAACTAATAAGAACTTTTTTTCAAAAAATTTTTGGAAAAGTGCTAAAAAACAAATATAAAAAACTTTTTGCTATAAAAAATTATTTTGGTTGTCTCTATGGTTTTACTTTTTAGACACCATCTTCATTTTTCAAAAACCAAAAAAAAATTATTAAAGTTTATCTCATAAAACCGAAACCACCTTCCAAAACCTAAAGAGCAATCAATTTCAAATTTTATTTTCATTTACTAAATATTAAATTGTCATTAGTTCGGAATATATGTAGTACAAATAATTAAAATAAATATTATAAGATAATGAAAATATTTATTTGGTTCAGGATCAAGGGATACTTGATTTTCACAATGGTTCAATTCCATAATTCCGAAAATATTTTTATTCGAAAATTTTTTTCAGTGTTTTTATACTATAAATATTAATACAAATTGTATCATGCACACATACATCGATTTTTATAAAAAAAAAAAATCAATTGATTTCATATTGTTATGAAAGTTCACTAACTATTCAATACATTCGGCTACATTGTTTCAAATTTCCATTGTATTAAGAAGTTTATATGCGAACAAATATGTTTTCATATTCTAAGAAAAATAAATACAAATGAGAACCATAAATTCTTAATTTATAAATTTCAATTTCAATTCTTGAGAAAATACCTAAAAGAGTTGTTAAAATTTACAAAATGAAATTTAATACTTAGTTCACTGTTATGTTATCGAATTCTTATAATTGGTCCCAATTAATTGAAAACTCTTCAAACGAATTGTATCACCCCATGAGCTCAAACATTTTGTGTTTAGAAATGGCAATTATGCTAACTAGGCATTGTTTAATAAATCGATTATGAAAGTGCAATTAGTGACTTAAAAATGTTATCTGTGAAATGTTGTTGAAAGCCCCCTGTATGTCCAAGAACAAACATAGTGCTACCTATTTATGTTTAATTGTATTTTCTAAGATGCTAATAAAGCGAGAGAGACCGGACCCTGTCGACCTCCTTGCCCGATACGCATGCTGATAATCATTTAACCACCTTCTCTTCACAACTCTAGTTCGGACATGATTGTCTGCTATCTTCTTCATTGTCTTTAGCTAAAATGATTTGAAGTTAATAGGTCGCCATAGCCACCGGCCGGGGCTCTAGTATGTACCCGAGAACCAAGCTACTCTTGAATATTCTCAACTCCAGTTCCCTACAGGAGTACTGGTGAAATCTTCATCCAGTCCCAGCTCCTTATATGGTTAAGCCGGGCCTAGAAATTTGGTTAAATTGCACATTTTGTGGGGAGTATGGAGACATCTAAGTACACATGCTGGTAATGCTCTCGCTCGTAGGAGAAATAAAATACTAGAGGATTTCGCTTTCACGGCTCTTGAGTTCCGGTCTTCCGGGTCTCACATGGTGCTCGAGTTCATCAGGAAAGTGGGTTTCGATCAGTTCTCAATATACGTGGTTGCAGTGCACTGTTACTCTATTTATACTAATCTACAAGTCTGCCATCTACAAAACAATCTATGCGGTTGTGTAAATAACTTAATTGTAATAATTTCAAAACTTTATTGTAATAATATTTTACTTCTTAATTACTAGATTCTTATTACTTCTTTTCAATTAATTTAAAAAAATTTGAAAAATGTAGATTTTATTATTTTAATATGGTATATTCCTCTCATTTAATAAAGGATTTTAATTTCTTTGAAATTTCACTCATTTTTCATAATTGAAAAAAAAAACAATTTTTAATTATTTTTAATATGAAATCAAATATTTTGCATAATGATAATTTCAATTTGAAATTAAATTACGATATTTTACGATTCAAAATTAAATTCCATTTTATTTAAGTAGTACAATAATTTATTCTACAATAGCTGTTTACTAATTTTCAAATATCTTTCCTTTTTGTCAAATTTTTCTCTATCGAAATAATTTTTTTATTGAAAATATGAGTTAATTCAATCCACATTTATATTTTACCAATGGTTTTTCTCCATTATTTTTCTATTTGTATTTTTTAATGCATAGAGTATTCCTAGAAATCATTTATTTAAAAATTATTCTATACACTTGTAAAAAGAAGAAATTATTTATGTTAATGTCTTTGGTGTAGAACCATAAGATCCAATTGTAATTATTAGGAAAAAGATTTAAAACTTCTTTTGAAAATTAATTCAAGTAAAAAAAGATTTTCAAAATACGATATTAAATATTTTCTTTTTAGATTGCTATATAAAGTTTTAGTCACAAGTCAATGAATTGTTCAAGATAAGCTACTTGATAATTATAAAAAAAATTTGCTAAAATTTGAAAATATAATTTGAAGTACAATTTCGAATCTATATAATTTCGAATAGAATTTCCAATGTAATTTTGAAACACCGGGAGAGACACTATAATTAAACAGATCAAAAACAAAATATTAAGCTATTTACCCACAACTTATCACAATTTCTTAACACTTCTTTAACACAATACTTACTAAATTACGTCAAAACACTTAAACAATATCTTTAAACCCAATAAAATTTTTGTTTACACATATAATAAAAAATATTTTAATATACTATATAACAGATTTAATCAAGATAAGATAATAATATCCTTATTATTTCTCTTGTTATACATATACATAGAATCAAAAACAAAAACCCGAAACTAATTCTAATTCTCGAAGCACAATAGACCTAATTGACTTTTAATAGTCTGACAAAGCGAAGACAAAGCAAAAACATCATCAGAATTAAACATAAAAAAAATAACACACATAATATTCAAATACAAAAGAAAAATAACAAAAAAAAAAAAATAAATAAAACCTGTTACAAACTAAGAACCACACCAATCCCCACCCGCCCTCAAGATTTTAAAGGAAATGAAGAAAATTATAAATTAGCAAGTAACTTTCGTCAAGACTTTAATCATTAAAATATATGCAAACAAAAAAAACAATAACCAAAAAAAAAAAACTTCCCTTAAGAAATCCAAAACGACGAAAGTATGAGCATATTTCCGAAAAAAAAAGAGAGTAGAAAAGAAATTTGAAAAAAAAAAATTAAAATTAAAAGAGAAAGGGAAAAAGGGACGAATACAACATTTTGTATTTAAATTAATATTCTCTTTTGTCTAAATAAAGAAAACACTTAAGAAAGAAGAAAGTGAAAAAAAAATGAAACAAGAAGAAAAAACAAATTTGAAATGAATATTAAAAGCTATTGTAGAAAAAAAGGAACAATTTGCATCATTTTAGGCGCACAAAAGTACGATTTAAAGCTTTTTACATTAAAAACATTTTACAGTTTTTTTTCCACTTCTTTCCACTCGCCACGGTTATCTGTACAAATTTTTAAAGTGAATATTAAAAATTGTACAGAGCATAATACCGATTTAATTATGTTAGACCAGAAATTGTCAACTAAAATAATTTACGCGTGAGAGAAAATAATTGATTTGTAACACATTTCACGCTCAATAACGCTCTTAAACTGAAATCAATGTAAAAATTTTTGTTTCTATCTCTGAAATAAAAATTTAAGGCATAACATTTTTAAGTTTAAATTTTTACCATAAGTTGTAGTAACGTCTCTCCTCAACTTATCACCATCAAAACTAAAAAGCTCGAAACTCGAAAAATTTTAATTTTTGGCTTATTATATTGCTGAAACTGCAAAAATTTTAAAAAATTTCAATAAATTCAGAAAACAGAGGGTAAAATGCCATAACAACAAAAAATATAATTATTTTTCTTAACTTACACAATTGTTAACCCTTAAATTTGGGCAATAATGTTCACGCTCCCCTTAAATTTTTTTGTTTCTTCATCCTAAATGTATGCAATTTTTGAAATATTTTGTTATGTGAATTAAAATAATTCTAATAACGTGGCAGATTGTTTTAAAGATCATTATGTATTCTTCTTAGAAAATTCTGCGAATGATGCTTAAAATGATTTTTTCACACTTATTCAACTTTTCGCAAATTTCTGCAACAAAAGTTCAGAAGACAATCAAACACTGCTATAAAAACAACATCAAATATAAATCTTCATTTATTTGAAAGTCCAAATTCTATTTGAATACGGTTTCTCATTCAAAAAAAAAGCGGAACTATCAACTAAGAGTAATAATTCACTTATATTGTACCATGCGGTCAGTAAAAATAAATTAAAATTTAAATAAGTAGGTTAGTTAGTCTAGAATTTTTTTTATTTTTCTCCTTTTATCGATTTTTATATAGACACACTACAAAAATATCATTTGTAAAATATTCCAGAAAAACATTTTTAAAAACAATTGTCGTGACCTGAATAAATTTCAAAGTTAAATAGAAAATAATTTTTATTTATAAATAAATTATTTTTCCTTTCTGAATTATTTCAGAATTACTAATATAAGTGCTATAAGAACCGAATTATTTATGTTCAGTTAATATAAAAATGCAGTGTCCGTACATTAGTGTTAATTATAAAGAAACATTTAATAACGCTTAATTTGTTATTAAATTTGTTATTAAAATATTATTGAACTTGAGGACATTTTTAAGTTTTCATCCGTTATAAACAGAAATTAGAAAATGTCTTTGTTACATGGCGGTATTCCAGTTATGACCAACTCAAATATTGGGCCAATTTATACGGGTATCATTCATCAATATCGAATAAACTTAGGGGGTAGAATATTTTTTAAATAATTTTTCCAGTTCTTTGTAAGAAAAACTTTTCAATTCCATTACTTCATTGCGATTATTCAATTCATTTCATTGAAATTATAGAATCACGCTATTGAACTTTATCAAAATTGAAATTATTGAATAGGTAATGGTGAAAGTTCAAAATACCTAGAAGCGATACGAAGAAATTATTTCAAAGTTTTTCTTTTTTATGAAAATTTATTGAGCTTCAATTACTTAAGATAAATTAAAACTACTTAAATAAATATATTTTATAAAAAAGTTAAATAAAATTGGTATAATTGAAACAATTTCCACTTATTCCTATTTTACATACGTACATATATATTATATATTTCTTTCCTTTTCCCCCGTTTATCTTCTCAAACAAATTAGAGACTCACTAATTAAATATTTAAAAGTAATTGAAAAGTATTAGTAGTTTATATTTCTTTGGAAAAGAAAAACTTTCCCTTCTCAATGACGCTCTATCTGTCTCTCTCTGCCGTTCTCTTTTTCTCTCTATCTCTGTTATTAAAGTTTTCTTTCTTTGTGAGTAAAAAATGTCATCAATTTTTTTCTTTTATTAGCGATTCCTATTTAAAACTTTTTAATATTTATTTTTCTTTTTATTTTAAATTATAGTAAAGGAAGGCGCCAATTTAATTCCAATGGATCCAAATGGTTTGAGTGATCCCTATGTTAAAATAAAATTGATTCCAGATGAACAGGATAAAACAAAACAGAAGACAAAAACAATTAAAGGAACATTAAATCCAGTTTATAATGAAACATTTACATTGTAAGCAAAATTTATATAATATTCTAGTTAATAATAGTAAAATATAATAAGGATGTTGAATGGAAGAATACATATATATATACAAATAAATGTATAGATATGGTAGATACTATTTTGTATACTTCAACTATATTATGTAGTACTTTAAAATTGAGTGGCTAATTTGTTTGTAAGAATAACCACCTTAATATAATTTACTTTTAAAATTGTAAGATTAATAGTAATATTTAAATAAATTTATAGGTACCAAGTATTCCACTTAATTTAAAAAAAATTTATCGAAGACAAACTATTTAGTAGATTCTTGAAATTGTAGAAAAATTAACTGGCGAATAAGAGTAAAATCAATAAACTTCAACTAGAATGTCGAATAAAAAAGAGTATAAGATGAACGAGGAGTTACTGATTGAGAGCAATTTTAAACAGAAATTATTTTAGAAAAGGTTTTGTAATACTGTAAATGACAAAATAGATTGATAAAAAACTAGTGTTTTCGAGGGCTAGAACTAAATCTAATATATAATCGAAGACAAAAATTACTTGTCAACCAAAGATGAGTAATTTTAAACTATGGTCTACGAAACTACGAAGGAAATAAGCGGCTTTCAAAAATACATTTATAAATACAGGTTCATTCATGAATGTTTGCGTAAATTCATATAATATTTATTTAGTAAACCTTAAATTCTGGGATACTCGGTATTCTCCATCTACTTATGCTTTTTTTTTAATGAATATAAAATTAAATAAAAAAATATAGTATTGCAAATTATGCAAATTTTCATCATTATTTTAATTTGTTTTTCCCTTTCTTTTTTTTGTTTTTACATATAAAGCAACTTGAAGCCAGAAGATAAAGATAAACGAGTTCTTGTAGAAGTATGGGATTGGGATAGAACTTCACGTAATGATTTTATGGGTTCATTATCATTTGGAGTTTCTGAAATAATCAAGGTAAGATTATTTATTTATTATCATTTTGTAGAAAAAAAAAATTAATGAGAAGTAATAAAAAAAGGTTCTGGTTAAATAAAAATTTGTAAACTAGTTATTTTTATATTGAGCAACGCTGACGAAATAGAAGAGTTATTATAGTAAATTTTATTAATTAATAAAATATTCAATTAAAGCATGAATAAATGTTGACATCGGAAAATTTTGCATATTTAAAATAATTGACTACCGCAGAATTTTTGTACAATTTTTGCAAGTTGCTATTATTTTGATCATTGATAATATTAAGAACTCTAGCAAGACATATGGTTGAAAAGATACTACAATTTAAAATCCGAACTCGTTAATGCACTCAATTCCCTTTTACCAACCTGGTTTGCAAACAAACTACTTAGCAATCGAATTCACACGAGGAAAAAACAATCGAAAATTCAAATTCAAGTAATTAATATAAGAAACCTTGTACTGTGGGTCTTGTCATGTAAACGAATGTAAACTTGTATGAGTAAACGAAAAATTTTCAAAAAAAATTTCATTTTGACCACGCCTGCTCTTCAACCCTGCTGATCTATAAAAATATCCAACTGATATAACCAAATTATGGTCGCGTTTTTTAATGTCTTCAAGTTTCTTATATTGTTTATTTTTTTCACTGAAATAAAAATCCACCTAGAACTTATAATTTCCTACAATAAATAACATACGATGGAAAAAACATTTTAATTAAAATCTGAACTTGAAGCATTTTTCAAAATGAATAGACTCTGAAATAGGAGTTTTTTGTGCATTTTGTTCTAGAATATGAAAAATAACTTTGAGGCAACACAAATATGGAAAAAAAATACTAATTTTTTTTTTTTTAAAGAAAAAAAGGAAATCATAATTCATGCTGTTGATGTTATACGAACATTATTGATAGAACTTGCATAATTTTTAAAAGTAGAATAAGAAAGTAGCAAATTTTTTTTTTCCTGGAAGAGATTTAAAAAAGAATGACGTAGGAAATGTGAAAAGAAATTTTGAGAAAATCTAAAATTAGAAATTATGAAAACAAGAGGAAAAGGAAAAAAAAATTTCCTCTTCGAAATTAATTACGGATGTTAAAACAAAACAAAGATTTGAAACAAATAATTGGTTACTATTTAATTAAAAAGAAAAGAAGAAGCATTCGACAATTTATAAATTCTAAACTAGATCCATATTTGGAACCAATCCCACAGGTTTAAAAGTGCCGATATAAATTCTTTTTATAACAGGTTGACAAATTGTTTGCAAAATTTCCTGCATTATATTCTCGTATACATTTGTACAGCCCAAAAAAAATTAACCATTATTCCAACATTGTTCTTACTTTACGTTGCCTTTAGTTCATTTTTAAGTGATCCACAAGACTTCCACCGACCCGAGGTTTTTACTTGTCTCAATTTTCCGTTATGAAAAACAAAACCCTACCCCGGAAATAGCTACTATTGCACAATACAAATTTCTAGTTTCCTTTTGTGGAATGAAGTAGAATAATAAGGTAGTTCATTACATAGGACACTTCTCTAATTCTCAAGTATTAAAAATTATTGATTTTTTAAATTTTTAATTAAGAGTTTTTCTTTTACATTTTTTTGCTTTTGTGAATAGGAACCAGTTGAGGGATGGTTTAAATTATTAACAGAAGAGGAAGGTCAATATTACAATGTTCCATGTACTGATGAGAATACAGATTTGGCTAAATTAAGAAGCCAAATGAAGGTAAGTAAATATTCATTAAATAGAATTATGAATATTAAATGTAACGATTTATGTGATATTTTTATTCATACCCTTAAATTATAGAAATCATCTCAACGTAAACCAGCACCAAAACAAGCAAGAGATACTCCTCATAATATGAGCAAATTGGATATGATTCGTCAATCTGATTTCACATTTATTAAAGTACTGGGTAAAGGATCCTTTGGAAAAGTAAGTTATTTTTTTTTTAACGGAATGAGAAATATTGTTGGGTTCATATATTTATTTTCATAATATTAGTTTGGCTTGACCTCGTAGAAATGTAATAAATTGAATCGATTTGATTAATATTTAGTAAAGGGTTCATAATTTTTTAAAATAAAAAAATATAATTTTAACTCGTTACTGAGTAATACAAGAATTTGGGGAGTAATAATTTTCCGGTTACCGAATGGGATCGCATTTCATCGAGTGGAACAATGATAGGTCACAAATCTGTACGTGTGTGGTTTATGGCTGTAAAGGCTGCTCCGCACTCAAGTGTGGAGAGACACAATAGATCCTTACGCATGGTCAAAGTACGCTGTTGCCTCGGTTGTACAACATATATGTAGATATGCAACATATATGTAATTATTGACATATGATCCATAAAGAATTGACATTCAAACTGCATTCAAAGTCTAGAAAATGTTTTGAATCAATCACATTGATTGAATCAATGAATTGATTAAAATCTCTTCATTTAACTTCGTTTAAGTTTTTTTGTTCCACTTATATTAATGATGCAAGTGCATTGCTAACTGAAATCTAAAAAAAAAATTGTAAAAAATCTTCAGAGTAATTTTTTTTTTCCAATTTTATTATTCATTCTCACATAATTGAATCAATCATAGTCATCCACAGTTTACTCGATATTTTTGATTAAAATTACATCAATTTATTATATTTTTTTTATACAAAAAGATCTTCGGTTTTATTAATAAAAACCAAACTGCATACCCAATGTTATTCATCATTTTTTTCCGAACACTTTACAACGTCAATGGCGTCTTCATTCTCAATATCATAATTTTTATATCCTTTTCATTATTATCATCTTTATTGTTTTCTCACACTGTTATTTTCTTTATTATTTAAGTAGAATAAAAAATAAAATTAAATTAATAATATTGTTTTTGAATAGGTTATGCTTGCTGAACGTAAAGGTACTGATGAGCTGTATGCAATAAAAATTCTTAAAAAGGACGTTATAATACAAGATGATGACGTTGAATGTACAATGATTGAAAAGAGAGTTTTAGCATTATCAGATAAACCACCATTTTTGGTCCAATTACATTCGTGCTTCCAAACTATGGTAATTTATTTTTCTTGTATATACAAAAGTTCTTATTATTTGCATCGTAAAATTATGAACTTAAATTTATATATCAATAGTACATTAAGTAAAATCAGATCTTAATTTTGGAATTTATAAAAATAATCCAATTATAAAATATTTGCAAAATGTAAAATTTTAGGATTTATGCGTAATAGAACGGATTTAATGTCAAACTCTAGAAGTATTACTAATTGAATTAAGAATATTCAATGTTTCCCAATCTTTTGAAATGCAATTAATTCTTTTTCAACGGCATCCCTTCACTAATAAACCATGAATGGGTGCCGTGATGCAAACTGTACTAGATTCTTCCAAGAAAAAAATCAGCTGTATAACCTTATCAAATTCAGGTGCTGCCTCATGTAAATTTTGTGAGGACAGTGACGAAACCGGCATACGCATTCTTTGCGACTGTTCAGCACTGGCTGTTCGAATTTTTTGGACTAGATTTCCTATAAGAATTTAGGAATCACTGTCTAATTCAATTTTGTACTTTAAGTACTTATACTATATCGGCGGGAACATAGGGGAATTATAAAAAATTTTAAAATAAATTAACAACTTATTATACTTGGGTAAATTGTATTATATTTATCGTAATATTTCAGAAATAACAACAAAAATACATTTTGGAAACAAAGTTTTTTTTTTAATAAAAAATGCGTGATTCTTCAATATTTTCGTTCTATTGATAAGTAGAAGGAAAGTCTTTTATTTTTTAAAAAAAAATCTAATTCAACAATTTTATTTATTTTTTTCGTAAGTAAGAGAACACAATTGATAATAATAGATAATTGAAACAAAATTACAAAGAAATTGTAATTTCATCTTTTCTTTGTATAAAATTTCTTATTAAATATTGTGCTCATAATATAAATGCCCCTATAAACTTGTATAAATTGATTATCATCATATATAATATAAGAATGATTTTGCATAAATAAATTTCAATTCTTCTAAATATCGTTTAAATGAAATTTTGTATTTTTTTTTCATAGTTGCAATGTATGAAGCTTCGATATATTAATCTCTACTCACATACTCATTAATATTAAATCAGTTTATCAATCGAACACTTTAAAAGTATATCAAAAATTATGCAATTATTATATTTTATTATAAATTTAATATATTTTAATTAATATTTTTAATTTTTTTAAATTAATAACTTTAATACTATAAATTACCCTCTCAACTTAACTATAGAAATGACTATGCTATTATGTGAATTTGTTTCCCTATTACTCTTACGGCGAACTCTTAATCACACCCTCCTACCAAATCTTTAAGAAAATGGGGGTGTAATATTTGAACTCAAATATAACGCCCCCACTTTCAAATCTTTTAAAAGAATTAATTACGTTCATAATATTATTTTGTTCGATTATAATCGAGAAACCTATTTCTTTTAAAAAAATATATATACATATATTTACATTTAATATACACAATTACAATAATTATTTTAATTTTTTAAATTTATTTTTGAAATCAAATATTAGGATCGACTTTTCTTTGTTATGGAATATGTTAATGGTGGTGATTTAATGTTCCAAATTCAACAATGTGGTAGATTTAAAGAACCAATTGCATGGTAAGTTCATAATTTAATTATTATTTTTTCATTTTCAATTTTCTTATAGTGAGTAAAAACATTATATAGAGCTTTCCGGTTCTAATCTTTTCAATTTCAATATTTAAAATGCGTGAGTTACACGCGGACTTGTAAACAATTACAAGTTTCTCCCACGTTAAGAATTCAATATTTTTTGTGACAAATGTATAATGAAAGTCTAATACGTTTGTTTGGAAAAAATTCTAATGGAATTGGGTGTTTTTTATAGAGATGTTGTCAAACTTTGATTTAAAATAAAAAAAAAATCACACCTGAAATCTTCTTAAGCACCCTGCAAGCAACCTTAAAATTCACCTTGAAAAGTTAAATATTGTAGTATATTGCATTTAGAATTTTAAAACTGAAATTATCTAATTTCTGTAAAGAGTTGAACAAGTTGCTTTTAGTTCTTGGCTATGCAAAATATTTTTTTTTTGCACTTTTCCACTTTGAATTCCTGGGCATACAGCCATCACATTAATTATTTTAGAATTTCTATTTGAAATTTCATAAAATAAATTTTTCTACAAGAATAATTCAAAAAATTCTTCATAAGCAACAAGAATAAGCCAAATAAATTGAAATATGAAAAAAACTATATAATCCTTTGAAAATCATTTTAAGAAGATTTATTTCCACTGTACGAGTATAACTATGGAATTTATAAATTACTAAACATTTTAAGCTTTCAACAAAAAAAGTGGCAACAACAAAAGTAAAACTTTGTCCTGTTGCACATTCCAGAGTACGAGTATTTAAGTACTCATAATTCACCATTAAATTTTTTTTTTTCAATTTTAATTAAATTCCAACTTATTATTTCTGCTTGAACTGGTCATTTATTTAATGTGAATCCATTTGATATAATTTGAATAAACAAGAAAAACTTTTACTCGGTTAGAAACTATTTTATAATTTCAATTTTTTTTTTTTAATTTTACTAATGTTTAGAATTAAGTACGCAAACATTTTTTTATGAGCTTTTTATTAAAATTATTTTAAAATTTTGTTAAAATGCTCCCAGTTCTCATCATTATATACTTATTAATTTTATTTATTTTATTTTATATATGAGTTTAAAATTTTAATTAAATTTCCAACTTTATTTGAGTGGGAAATTTTCAAAAAAAAAAAAATTTATTTCCTTTTTTTTCTATTCAACAGTTTCTATGCAGCTGAAATTGCTGTTGGATTATTCTTTTTGCATAATCGTGGTGTTATTTATCGTGATTTAAAATTGGATAATGTTCTATTAGATCGTGATGGACATGTTAAAATTGCTGATTTCGGTATGTGCAAAGAAGGTATCAAAAATGATAATACAACAAAAACATTTTGTGGTACACCCGATTATATAGCGCCTGAGGTAAAATTTATTTAATTAAGAAAAATTCAATAACAAAAATTAATCGATTATTTTTGATTATTAATTATATTTATTAAATTAATCGATTGAATTTTTTTCTTGTTTTCCATTAAAATTTTCAATAATCAATTAAATTTTCAATATTAATTTATAATATTTTTAATTTTCATATACTGTTTGGTTTTTAATTATAAAATTTGAAAATAATTTCACAGATAATACTTTATCAACCATATAATAAATCGGTTGATTGGTGGGCATATGGTGTTCTATTATATGAGATGTTAGTTGGGCAACCACCATTTGATGGAGAAGATGAAGAAGAATTATTTGCAGCAATCACCGATCATAATGTTTCCTATCCAAAAAGTTTGAGTAAAGAAGCAAAAGAAGTATGCAAAGGAGTAAGTATTAAATTGTTTTTTGTTTACTACATTTTAAATTTAAATGTAGCTGAATAAATTTGTAATGCGAGCAAGCCATATACTATATGGTATTACCAACACAAATGCTTATTTTTTTTGTGCAACACAAATTTTTGTATTTTAAAACAGATTCAATATTCGGCGCCATTTAATGAACTGATTTTTTTAAAATATAAAAAGGTTTTGTTGTGACAAATATAATGACAGACAGATATCGTCATTCATTGCGGAACATCCTAAAGAGAGTAATCTGAAAATTTGTATTATATTTACAATGGCATAAGAGTAACGCACTCTCGAGAGTCACACTCTATGCGTAGTTGTAGTTGACTACTTTTGTAAATCATATTTTCGATTATTAGGGATATTGTTAGAAAAACTTGAATAAAACAAGTAAAAACACTATATTTTTATTAAATTGTACACATTTAAAGTTAAAGCGCAATTAAAAGAAAATCAAACATACGGTCACAATTTGTGTAACGATTATAACAATTTCAAACGTAAAACGGTTACAGTACCAAAAATATAACAAAAAAATTATTCTAACTGTTATATAAAAACAAAAAAATTACTAACTGTTATACACATATATATATTTTCTTTTTTTCAGTTCTTAACTAAACAACCACCGAAACGTTTAGGTTGCGGTGATAATGGAGAGGATGATGTTAGAGGACATGCATTCTTTAGGCGTATAGATTGGGAAAAAATTGAAAATCGTGATGTTCAACCACCATTTAAACCGAAAATTGTAATAAAAATTTTAATTTTTATTTTAATATCTTCTATATTAATTCTGTTATACATATGTTTGTATATTAGATTTCTATTTATAATATATTTATATATTTTGTTATAACTTGTTTAACAACATTCTTCTCATTCTTTTTTTTTTCTCATTTTTTTTTCTAAAATAGAAACATCGTAAGGACGTTTCAAATTTCGATAAACAATTTACATCAGAGAAAACTGATTTAACACCAACCGATAAATTATTTATGATGAATTTGGATCAAAATGAATTCATTGGATTCTCATATCTAAATCCAGAATTTATAACAATGATTTAAAGAGTCACTTTTATTTTTTCTTATAATTATTATCATTATTAATTAATTAATATTATTGAATTTATGAAATCTTATAATTATTATTAAATTTAAAAATTAATTACATAAAAATATTATGTATAATAAATGCTCGTAATACACTTAAAAGAAAAAATTAATTTAATCTGAAAAATAAAAATTTATATTTTCAGTTTGTAATTTTTTAATTTTGTCTCTAAATATTTATGAAATGAAAATTTTTCGAATCCTAATTAAAATCAGAAATCTAAATTATTTTAAATATACATATAAGTTAATCCAAAAATAAAAAAAAAACAAAGCAAAAAAAATATGAAATATGAACAATTAACATGTTGGGGAAAACATAAATCGCTAACAAAATTTATGAGTATAACAAAAACCAAAAAAAAAAAAAAAAAAAAATTTTAAATTGAACTATTACAATATTTTATAATTGTAATAGTTCAATAATAATACAAGAAAAATAGAAAACAAAAAATCCGAATCTAAAAAGAAAACAAAAAACAAAAATAACTTTGGATTACAGTTAATAAATTTTCATTGAATTTTATTGATTCACCCATACTTTAATCTGGTCGAAATTTCGTAAAAATTTAAGATCAATTCCCGAATTTCTTTGTCCATTCTACATTCTTCTATAGATTTTCTATATATATATTTCTTTAAATTTATCGAAAATATGAAGCAATTAATTACTAATCGAACAAATACTAGTCTAATACTAGTTTAATAATAAATGTTCGAATTTTTTCAATATTCGAATATCTCATTAATGAATTTCCTTAATTTCAGAATTTTTCTAATATTTAAATATTTCTAATTTTCGAATATTAATCATATATATATATATAATAACAGTTTTTCGAATTTTTCTTATATTCGAAAATTTCCCTTAAAAATATTTCGAAATAATTTCGAAATTTTAATTTATATTTGATAATATAAATCAAATAAAAATTCTTAATTATTATTCAAAATATGCATTATATAATTTCCTGTTAGAAATTAATTTTCTATAAAAAAAAAAGTATATTTTCGAAATTTTAAAAAATTATATCAAAAAAAATATATCAAAAATTTTAATTGATAAGAACTGAATTTTAATTGTAATTAAAATAAAAATTTTATGCATTTTAATCATATTATTATTAAATCCCTATAAGTATGCAATAAAATTCACAAAATAATTATCTATGAAAAATTAAATCAAAAAATAATGCAAAATTAAGCTAATAGCATCATTAAATCACAAAAAATTTAAATTATAATTAAAATGTCTTTATTATAAAATCATTTCATTATAATATGATGGTTTCCAAAAGCAAAAAAAAAAAAAAAAAACAAATAAATACTAAAATTCATTTGAAATAAATTAACTGTGTGCATAACAGAATCTATAAAACTAAAGACTTACTAAACAAAACTTAAAGTAGTAATATTCTAAAAAAAAACAAAAAAAAACAAAAAACCAAAAACATAAAATAGAATTTACAATTTGCCAAAATAAAAGCATTTTTTCTTTCTTCTTCTAAAAAAGACAAAAAAACAAGGATAATGCAACCTAACAATCAATATATCTACTATATTTTACGCAAAAAAAAACAAAATAAACGAAAATTAACAAAATTTAAATATTGATCATAATAATTTGAATTCTTCCAATATGCTTGAATATCCGGGCTCCAATTCTTTTAAAATCATAATTAATGCACTTAAATTCTCTTCAAACATGTAAAATGATTTTTAATTCACAATATTGTCCTCCCCCCCCCAAATATACACGATATTATAATATCAAAATAATTAAAATTTTATTTAAAATTATTTTATTTAATTCTCATTTTACAAAATTTTTGCGCCTATTGAATTTATTATAATACATATTATATTTAATATAAATCTAATTTGAAAATTATTCTGAATTATATATAAATGTGTAAATTATAATAATATTGTTAAATATAGATGTGAAATATTTAAATAAATTTTTTATTAAAAATATAAATAAATAATAAAATTAAAAATTTCTTGTTCATTTAAATTTCCAATATATTATATAATAATTACATTATCATTATATATAATATTATTATATATAATATTATTATTATATAAATATAATTTATCTGTGATTTCAAACAAGAAAAAAAAAAAACACTAAAACAAAAATGTTAACATTTTACTTATATATTGAAAAAATTAAAATATCCTTTTTCTCATTTTCATTTTTTATTCTTCAATTTAATTATTTCCAATTATTATATATAATATCTTAATACGAGATATAGAAATATTTATTAATAATTATAAAATATACAATATTAGTATTATTAGTATAAAAAGCTCGGGTAAATTATATTAAAAATAATTTGTAAAATTCAAAATAGCAAAAAAATATTTGAATTGGAAATTAATATACAAAGAAGAAAAATAATTTACTGCGAACAAAATAATATCCCAGTTTAAATATTGTTTTTTTTTTTTTTGTATTATTTTTCTGCATAATATTTATATATTATGTATATAATCGGTCTTAATTTCTGCTTTTTTTCTACTAAAAGCCGGAATCTGTTTTCACTTTTTACTTTTGATTTGTGATTTTCATGTTTTTTTCCTCAAGCAATTATCTTCTAACTCCGATTATTAGAATATTTAGTATAATTTTCATGAAAGCAACTTTGATATTAATAACTCAAATAATTATTATTTTATATAAAATATAGCATTTAATAAAAATTGTGATATAAGTCATGTAAATTTCAAAAAAAATTAAAGGCAGCTGATCTTTATATTATTTTAAAAAAAATCTATATTTTTGACAATATAGCAATTCGATGGCAATCTTATAATTAATAATATTAATAATATTATTCAAATTCAGTTCGAGGAGAAAAATTTTTAAAATTTTCTTTAAAATTTTGATTTGTTTCTTTAATTACACCATCCAGCCATTTATTCTGGATGCATTTATAAGATGAAACTTTCTTAATACTAATTTTCAGCAATAAATCAAATAATATTTTATTTGCAATTATACACTATTTTATATAATAATAATATTTTCAATAAATATTTCAATAAAATTGAATTTTATAATAAATTAACATGTATAATTAATTAAATACAAATAGGTATAAAAAAAAATTGATTTTTTTTTTATCACATCGAATTTTGTGTTTCAATAAAATATATACATATTATATACTCTTTGGTATATTATAATTTTATATTTTTCATATTCTCATATATTATAAAAAAAAAAGCATTTTTAAACTGGGATTTTACACATTAAATAAAATATAATATATATATATATATTATAATATTTATATATATTATAATATATATAAATAATATATATATATATATATATATATATATATATATATATATATATATATATATATATTATAGTATATATATATATATATATATATATATATATATATATATTGCAATTGTATTTAAATATAAAAAATTTAAATATTTACCTACATTTTATCTTAAAATTAAATATGAGAAAAAAAAACAAAAACATTATACATGCACGCTATATATACACGCTATAAAGAAAACGAATTGAATTTGAAAACCGCTTGATTTGAAACAATACTCGCCCCGGTATTGATAAAATCAAACCGAAAAATTATTTAATAAAAAATATTTTCCGCATCAATATAGATTTAAGAATAAAAAGAAAAAAAATAATATATGTATTTGAAATTTTATTATTATAGTACTAAAATTTTAGCTTAGCTTATAACAACACAAATGAATTCATAACAAAATTTAATATTATAATCATGACGATCTAAGTACTAAATTTAATAGCTATTTAAAATAAGCATAATTTTCGTGAAAATTATTATTACCTATGAGTTTTAAAATGATATCAAAAATCATTTAATAAAATAAAGTTCTAACAAATCAAATAATTGAAAATTTATTACTAATGTACATATACATAGTAAATATGAATTTGGAGATTTCACTTTTATAACATCAAAAAAAAAATTGATTCGAGGTTATAAAACTTAACATAGATCGCAATTTAGATTGCAAATCAATACATTTATAAATACATTGATATATTTACAAAAAATAACATTCAAAGAAGAACATTTATTTTTTATTAAATTTTAAGTATTATATATATTATTAAAATTATTGTATAACAATTATAGTATAAAGAAAAATATTAAAGAAAAAAAAAACAACCAAAAAATAAAAAACAGAGTCTCGATGTACCACTATAGAATATTAAAAATATATATATATATATATATATATAATTACTATATACCATATAATAACTAATTTATAAATACATATATATACATATATATGTATATATATATATATATATATATATATATATATATATATATATATATATAATATATATATATATATATATATATATATATATATATATATATTATATATATGAAAAACATATATATAATATAAACATATATAGTAAATGATGAAAAACAAAAAAAAAATTATATTTAAACAAAAAAATAAAAATCCTTTAAATATTATACCTACTATATATATTATTATATTAAATTATAAAAAAAATTTAATTATATATATATATATATATTCATAAATAGAAAATTCAATATTTTATTTATTAAATATTCAATATTATTATTATTATTATATTCATGTAAATAATAATTTATTATTATAATTATTAAACAAGAAACATAAATTAAGAAACAAACCAAAAAATAAAAAATATTATATAGAAATTGCAAAAAAAAAAAAATAAATTAAATTAAATAAAAAACTAATATAAAAACATCATTCCAAACAAAAATTTTCAGTGATACTTGTATAAAAGAAATTGTTTGAGAAAAAATATAACATCAACACTTAAACCGATACAAAAAAAATAAAACAAAAATTGCAAGAAAATTAATTTTAAATTTAAATTAAAAAAAAAATAAATAAATTTAATATATTATGACAATCTTCAAAATACTATGATAAATATCTTAGATATATTACAACTATTGTAAGGGATATATATATATATATATATATATATATGTAGATAACAACTATTATATTACATTTAAATAAATAAAATTTAATAAAGAAATATTATATTTCTGAGAAAAAATAGAAAACTAATCATAAATTTAATTAATTAATTAACAAAAAGAATAAAAAAAGAAACATAGATAGAAAATTAAATATTATTTAATAAAAAAAGTATAAAATTAACTTAAATACTAACATATTTATTATATTTAGAAAGAACACAATAGAAAGAATTCAAATTCAAATTTATAAATTATAAAATATATAATTATTTATATATAAGTAAATAAAATATTAATTTTATTATATATTTTATTATTTAACTTGAAATAATTATGAATTTTTTTTTCTTTTAATGTCAACATTCTATATATGATTTTTATTTAAATAGCTTACAATACATAGAAAAGATAATTTTTAAATTATGTTTTGCCATAATTAAAATAAATAAGAAAAAGGGAAAAACAAACATTCCAAAAAAATAATAAATTTATTATGTAAAAATTGATATTGACCTTGTATTAGTAAAAATTAAAACTATTAAAAAAAATATTAAATAAAAAAAAAGGGTAAATAAGGATAAACAGGAAAATCATATTATAAAAAAAAATATTATATATATATATATATATATATATATATATATACATATATATATGCATACATATATATATATATATGTATATATATATATATATATATATATATATTTTACAAATCTATATCAAAAATAATTATGTTAAAATACAACATTTTATAATAATAATTACATGTATATAAATAAAATGTATATTTTTATGACAGAGATTCATTAAATTATAACATAAATATATAAAAATATATATGATATATGTATACAAGAATTCCAAATAATTTCATTGATTAATAATAATTAATAATATTTGGAATTTTTCGTAAAAGTATATATATATATATATTATTTATTATTTAATAGTTATTTTATTTTGAAAGAGAAAACAATTACCGCTATTAATTAATATACTTATTAACAAATGAATAATTAGTAAATAATAAAATTATTATATATATATATATATTTCTTATAACAATATATGTGTTTAATGAACAAATTTAAGAATCTCATTTAAAATCAATTTCAAAATATATACTTATATCTATAATTGAAAAAAAATATGTAATATTATAAATATATTTAAGATAAATTTGAAAAAATAAAATTACTTTTGATTAAATTAAAAATTAATAATGATTAGATTTAATTGACGTAAATCATACTAATTAATAAAATAATATTTAAAATAAAAAAAAAGATTTAGTCTAATTTTAAAATTTATATATTAATCGCGTATACTAATAGTAAAAGAATTTATAAAATTTTAAGTGTATTTAAATTTTAAGAACAGAAATGACAAAAAAAAAAACACAATATTTCAAAAAA